GCCATTTTGGCACCGCTCGGCCCCACGGATTGGTCGCGAGGGACCATAGTTTGACTTTTTTTCAGTGAACCTCCCCACTGGACTCTGAGAGCTCTTAACGAGCTGAATTAGAGTGCGGGCCAGGATCTCTGATTTTCTGAATTTCACTAAAACGTCAACAGCGATTGCGGGCAAACGGTGTGAGATCTGGCCTCGTGGCTCCAATATGGCGGAGGCCCATCTTTCGTGTCCCGTTCAATGTTCGAACGACGTCTCTCGGACGTCGTGGGCCAGAGCGATGAGGCCCTGACGGGCCTCATCTTTCGGGCCATTTCCCATTCATTTCCTATGGGGCGCCGTTTTTTGGCGTTTACTCGGAAACGCCCGGTCCTTTGAGAAAGTTTTGAAATAGCACGCATCCCGTGGTCGGGTCGGACGCGCATGCCGGTTTTGGGCCCGATCCGTCGAACCGTGCGGGACTAGTTACGGTTTCCGTCCCGTTTCTCGAGCTTTGCCATTCATTCCTATGGCCCAAATTTCGCCACTTTTTCGCCGTTTCCACGGAAACGCCCGGTCCTTTGAGAAAGTTTTGAAATAGCACGCATCCCGTGGTCGGGTCGGACGCGCGTGCCGGTTTTGGGCCCGATCCGCGGAACCGTGCGCGACGAGTTACGCGCCGAAATTCGAACGGAAACGGGAGAACGATAATAAGTGACAGAATAAATATGACGAAGAGTAATAGGTGGGCCTTGCCTTCGGCAAGGCCCACTGGCCGTGGGCCTTGCCTACGGCTGTGGCCCCCCTAATAAACTTCGAATAAATAGAGTCCATACCTGCTCTGCTGGCGTTCTGCAACAAATTAATTAAGAGAGGAAAAGCAAAGCTAATAAAAGGACCACAGGGTGTGTCGCTCATCATGTGACTAATGTGAGAGCTGTGTTATGTCATTAGTGTACGTATCTACAGTTTCAGTGAATTAATCATAGAACTACATAACATGATGTATCTGGACCGGGAGGAAGCTGGAGAACCCAATCATAGACGGGGAGAACATTTCTGTTCATCCACACAGAAAGAACCCCTAATAATGTCATTCTGCAGATGTTTGGACAGATTTCTGTTTCTGTGTGATATGAACACAGATAGAAAAACAGGGACACACCTCATGAAATGTGTAAAGATAAAGCCATCTCAGATAAAGTAATTTTATATCAGAAAACCATATTGTGCAGAAGCTTGTTTAGATGGCAACAAATCTGTCAAACCTGTCCAGCAGAAACCTGCTGACAACTGAAGGTGATTAAAGTCAAAAGGAGACAAACTGTTTTGTTTCTCTGAAGTCATTTCACCTTAAAGTGGGAGGATCTCTGATATCATGATGGTGTTCCTCCACCTTCCTGCTGTTTAACACTAAACCACCACACTTAGAGACTGATGGGTAACACAGGTAGGACTTTCTCTCTTTGACTATTTACAGAACCTAGAAACATCAGATTAGGATTAATTCCATGAAAGATGTTCCCAGAAATTAAAAATAACTATTAATGATGAAAGAAATAAAAAGGACTGAATAAATGAAAAAATAGTCATATTACCTGGGATATGTTCCATGGCAACCTTCATGTCAACGAGTGTTGATGGCACAGAACACAAAAATAATCTGAGAGTCATTCAGATCTGCTTCTTTCAGGTAGACTTCCCGAGATTTATGGACATGATACAGCAGCTGCTGATCAGCACCAAGGGAGGCTCCAAGAGACACTCTGTTGAAAGTAACTATTTTTTTACCTGAAGGACAGAAAAGAAAAGCAGGTGAATTAACCAATGTGAATGATTCCTGATCAAATAACTTTCAGGCAGACATATCTGATGGGTCAGACTAACAGGTTGCTACCTGGAGATCAGCATTGTGTCATTAGGGGGGCCACTGCCAGCGGCAGGCCCCCCTATTACTATCCAAAATACTAATTTGGCGGCTTATAGTTCTCCCGTTTCCACAGACTGCTACTCCTCCCGCACGGTTCAACGGATTGGGCCCAAAATCGGCACGCGCGTCCGGCCCGACCTGGGAATGCGTGCTATTACATAACTTTCTCATTAGTCCGGGCGTTTTCGAAAAAGCGGCCAAAACACCACCCCATAGGAAATGAATGGGAAACAGGACCTCATCGCTCTGTCGCTCGGTCCCACAACATCCGAGAGACGTTGTTCGAACATTGAACGGGTCACGAAAGACGGGCCTCCGCCATATCGGAGCCACGAGGCCAGATCTCGCACCGTTTGCCCGCAATCGCTGTTGACATTTTACTGAAATTTAGGATTTCAGAGAATCTTCTCCTCTAGCGTTGCTCGTTAATGCCTCTGAGAGTCCTGTGGGGACGTTCACCGAAAAAAGTCAAACTCCGGCCTCTCGCGACAAAACTGTTAGGCCGCGCCACGCCAAAATGGCCTCAAAACGTAGCCGAGGGTGTCCTCTTTCGGCCAATGAGCCCGCTTTTGACCTCGGCCTTACAGTTTTCCGGCAATCGGGCCCAGAGTCCAGACTTTCCCGACCCTCTCCAATAGGATTTGAATGGAAGAATTTTGAGAAAGTCGGACCAACTGCCAAATCGCACCTCATTTTGAAATTGCCATAAAAAACTAACCGCTGGGAGCAGCCAATTATAAAATACATTGTCTGAGCCCTAAAACCCTCGTAGCGCTCACGGTCCAAGAATTATTACGCTCTGTCATATAGTTTTCGAACAGCGGGCAGGAGTTTGGGATCAACAGTCAGTTGACTCTGTCTCAGAGCTGCGGCTTAGTGATGAGTCACGACTGTCCGGTTTGGAATGTTCAGACTTGGGGCTGTTGCCGTGATGATTTGAAACAACCTCATGGGGAGATAAAATGAAAACATTTGTTCAAACAGAACGGAGACGTTCAGGAAAGTGTAGAAATTTTGTGTGCTGCTCTTGAACATATTGTTGATTTCTGGTCAGTTTGCAGAAAAGCTACTGGTCCTCGTTTTAACTGTGTGCTCAGTTCAGCACAAACAGGTTGTGTCCTGAGTGTTACAGACTGTTACAATGGGTTTGGTGATGAGAAATCAATGATTAAAAAACAAGAGCTGCTGGATGGATATTTTTCCTGCCTGCATGTATCTTTTAGTATCATAATTTGGCTGACATTGAACTCTATTCCCTGTTTTCTGATGTAGCTCAAACAGCTGATGGCTCATAGTTGTGTTGTGACTCATAGTTGTACAATAGCTCACAAATAATTTCTGGGAACATCTTCTCATAGAATTAATCCTTAACTGATGTTTCTAAGTTCTCTAAATAGTCAAAGCAGAGGAAGTCCTACCTGTGTTACTCATCAGTCACTAAGTGTTAAACAGCAGGAAGGTGGAGGAACACCATCATGACATCAGAGATCCTCCCACTTTAAGGTCAGATGACTTCAAAGAAACAAAGCAGTTTGTTCCTTTTGGACTTCAATAACCTTCAGTTGTTATTAGGTTCCTGCTTGACAGGTTTGCTGCTATTAAAACAAGTTACTTCTGAATTTATCAGAGAGAAACTGACTCGATCCACATTTCACGCTTTGTGTGAATGTTGGATTGCTGATCTATAATTAGATGAACACAGTAACGACATACCACAGCTCTCAGTAAGGGGTAAGTGACACACCCAGTGGTCCTTTTCTTGGTTTCGCTTTTCCTCCTTTGTTCAATTTGTTTCAAAACAACAGCAGCATCATGTATTCATAAAACCTTCTAAACACATTAACAACAAACAAGCAAAACCTCTCAAAAAAAGAGTTCTGTCACAATTTTAGTATCATTCTCATTGTAGTTTAAACTTCAGAAATCACACATTACACAGTTGGATCAGACAACTTGGGACATACATTTGTACCTTAATGTCACAGTCACTTACCTGTATTCGCTTTGGTTGATCCTTTCCTGAGGGTGTAACCGGCTGGTTGATCGCTGGCAGCTGCAGCTCACTCGAGGCTCACTGGATCGTCTCCATTACCTGTGAGTTAGGGTTTGTCCTGTTTAATGTTAGGGTTCATGTTCCTTGTACTGCATGACCCCTGGTTGGTCAATTTCCTTTTAGTATCAATGCAATGGAGATGATTTTGATTGTCTCTTCTCTTGCAATCATCTCTTTTCTTGAAAGGTCCCGGTTCCCCTAGCTCAAACATTCCTTTTGTTCCAGGCAAGGCATGTATTGTCTGGCTTAAGTCCTCATCAGTTCACAGGCTTATCAGATCAGATTCTGTATGTGGAGGCATAGTTCATCAATGTCTCTTCCTCCAGTCAGAGGAAAAGCTTAAAGATTCCTACTCAGTTGCTCTGCTGCTGTTATGATATTTTATTAAATTTTTTATGAGACAAAGAACAGATGAGACAGATACTCTGAGTATTTAAATTCTGATTCCTATTGGAGACAGTACAATTTAACAGAAACCTTAAAAGGAGCTGTTTCAGCTTGAAACCTGTTAGGAATCCCTTACCGTTTCTTACAGGCTTCACTTTCTTCCCTCCACTGACAGGTTTGGCATTTTAAACTTATTCTCATCTCTCTCAGGGTTATCAGCAGTTACATCGTCTCAAAATAAAATGATTGTTTGCATTTTTCTAAATTATCAGATAAGAGACTACTAGTCTACTATTTATTTTTGTTGGATTATATAGATTCAGATACATTATACAGACAAAAAAGCTCATTTTTAAACTGTTACCATGTAACAGATTTATCTCATGTCTCAATACACCAAAGCTTGACCTGTGTTTTTCTGGGCTGCCAGGACTTCCCAGCTGTGACCTGACAACAACAACTTTTAAGGTACAGACAGATTAGCAGAGTGTTAAGAGTGAAGAGAGGAAGTGGTAAAGGAGGAGAACAGAAAGCAGCTAACAGAAACACAGAAAAGTAGGACGTTGCTGGAGTGGTCAGTGGACAGGATTGCCAATTACATTCCTCCACTTAATGCTTCAGTCTTTTCTCAGCTATTTTAATGGATCACTCAGGAATCCCCTTTAACTGAAGTCATTGTCTGAATAACAGACCAAATCAGTGTGAGCTCTTACCCAGTCTACTGGCTTCATTTCTGATCTCTGTCATGTTTACCAAAATGGGTTCTGGAATTTCTATAGAATTTCCACTAATTACAAAAACCAGGACATGAACTTTATCCTCTGGACCTGGGTTAGTGTTGGAATCACTGTACATAGGTTATCGTATAAGATGGAGGACGCCTGTACTCCATGTTCTTTTCGTATCTTTAATTTTAAACCTCTTACTATCTGAACATTATGTACTCTCAATCAGAACATTATGAACTTCCATTGTGTGGGAATGAATAACCAATGTGCTTGTGTAAGTAGATTTGAATAACTAGGTGCAGTATCTGCAGCAAAACAGCAGCTGAGAGCAGAAGTTTGAGAAGGCCAAGATCCTCGGTTCTCACCCGTTGAAGCGCCTGATAATAAGCGCTCCATGATAAGGAGCTTGGACATAATGTTGGCTACAATGTAATATTAAGCTACACCTGCGTGCAGCTTGTGTGATCTCATCCCTTAGAGGCTGCACGTCCATGTAACGTAGGGAACAATCCTTAATAAAAAGAGAGGAGGCAGCGGAGTCTGGTCAGAGTATGGTGGAGATTGTAGAGTCTGGTCAGAGTAT